AGTCACTATTATTTAAATTATGCGATTTACAAAAGAAAATTGTAAGAATTTTATTTTCGTATTTATAGAAAATTTTTAGTTGATTTCATATAGAAACAAGTCACAAATATACGAATTGTGCATTTTCTTTAATTAACTAAACAGATTATATTTTTATTAGTATTAATAAAGTGCAATAGTTAGTTTCTGAGAAATAAAGGGGTGTTGGTTTAGAAGATCTACGTCAATATCGGCGACTTTCCTCTAATAAATAATAACAGTTTATAAATTATTAATTTCTCTGTTTTGATGCGTTCAATGTTATCTCGATATAATAGAGAAATAAACGTTTTTATCATTTACAACTCTAATAATTAAGAATAAGAAATATCTTCTTATTGATATATGTAATTTTTTTTTAATACAGTAACATTATATGTAATTACAAAAAATACATTGTTATGTTAAATTTATTTATCTATTGGATAAATCAATATATAAGAAAGATAAGAGAGAATCAGAATAGAATCAGAATATATCAAGATTCATGAATAGCAGAGTACATTATTAAATTAATATATGCATTAGATATAAGCGTTTCCATTATATTCTTTTTCAAACAGTTTGAAATGTGGATTAGCGTTAAGCGGAATTATTAGGTAATGTGAATGAGAGTGTTAACTTGCTGGACGCATAGACTATTAACACGGCTTACATGATTTACAGCTAATAGCTAATAACCACTACGTAACGACGTTGATGCGGTTGCCATCTGCTATTTTGGTCCTGATTGCTCTCTATGTATCCCCACGACTGATTCAGAGGTACGATACCATAGTGTTAGTAAACAAACAACAATTACTGCGGAAGATAATGTAAGGTATGTACAAGAATCATAGCTTTATTTTTTACAAACTTTCTTCTTTGATTTTTGTTTCTTTTTTTTTTCAAGTAAATTCTTTTGATTTAAACAAGTATAAATTATATGAGAGTCGCATAATTCTTGTACATTAAAAGTGGTGTGCTAATATGAATTTTACTTCTTATTGGTGAAAACGACGCGAAAATATTTCCATTACATAACTGCTTAAATAAAAGAACTCACTAAGACAAACTTTATTATCAAACTCAAAATATAAGTATCACTTTTCTAAAATCGCCTTTGAACCAAAACGGCGCCAAGCGACGCCAAGCGCGCGGAATGTACGTAAATAATAGCGGTAAACACTCGCTGGTAAATGGACGTTAGAAGCTCGAAAGAAAAATAATGAAGGACGATAAATGATGTTTAGAAAGATACACATTCTCTTCACCGCGCCATACATAATTTAGCGCAAACATGCGTGAAGCAAGATCAAAAGTCAGAAATACGTAATCCCACGTGATGAGCGAGTGCATATAAGCGAGAGATGATTACAGTTGAGCTAACAAACTCACAAACTGTGAGATTCCATCGATATATATATATAAATTATCTTTCATCTTTTTCTTCTCAATGCACGTAAAAATTTACCAAAATTTGTTTTTATTTAAAAAACTAAGAAATATATTGAAACGGATTTTTTATGACAATAGCATAAATAGACTATAATCGTATAGGGTATACTTAAGATAATTCAAGAAAATACATATATGTATACATACATGAATACATACGAGGGCGGTCCGATAAGTATGTACTTAGCCTACAAAAGAAAAACGAAAATTTTGGAAAAGGGGCGATTTATTTCTCAAAGTCTCCTTTTAGCTCGATACACTTGACCCAGCGATGCTCCAACTTCTTTAACCCGTCTGAAAAATACGTTTTCTCGAGGTCTGCAAAGTAGGCCTCCGTGGCGGCGATGACCTCCTCATTCGACTCAAATTTCTGCCCGGTGAGTGACTTTTTCAAGTTTGGAAACAAAAAGAAGTCGCACGGGGCCAAATCTGGAGAATACGGTGAATGGGGCAGCAGAAATCGCTGCGCGATTTCCCTTCCAAAAACAAGAATCGAATCACCGACCGATATTGCTCTTTTTCCATTTTTCTAAAATCCGCAGACACGCCCGCTTCCACACGCGGTCAAAACAAAACTACAAGTCCGATTCGGCTGAAATTTTGACAGTAGCCGTCTACGAGAATGTACTACACGATAGTAAATTTCTCTTGAGATAGTGACGCCATCGGGCGGTGAGGCTAAGTACTTATCGGACCGCCCTCGTACATATGTTGGAAAACAATAAAAAAATTCCGAAAGATCTAAAGGTGTCCAAGCAGGAAATTTTTTCTCGATTATTCAATTATCTATGTGAGAAATAAAGCAAAGAATTTCATTTATTGAACGTACTGTAATATCTGCCTTAAATGTAATTGTCAATCGCATTACGAGTCCATGTGCGTATGAGAGAGAGAGAGAGAGAGAGAGAGAGAGAGAGAGAGAGAGAGAGAGAGAAGGGGGAGGGGGAGGGGGAGAAAGAAAGTAACAGAATACAAAGGTTAAACGGAGTGTACCACGCGTGGATTGAACTGCGATAGAGTAGTGGAGTTAAAGAAAAACGAGAGGGTACGAGTAGAGAATAGAGAGCGAATTTATACGATCGACTGTGCGTAAAATTATTCCAAAACTTATTACTCCTGCTAGCTATGACCGTAGCTATGGCAACGAGACGCGGATATGAAAATTAATACGCACTGGGAAAACAGAAAGTTTTCAGAATGTTTTCCCATTACTGGCAGCACTCGCGATGTTCGTACCAATTCGCTTCTGACTGGCAACTAATTCGTTCGTAGTTGTGTAATTAGCTGCATTTTTATAACGACGTGATATTTGCGTCATTCTTTTCTTTAGCGAACACGTCACCTATGTTCTCGTCTAAAATCAAAATTATTGCTTCAAAACTTAACTTCAACTTCACTTATTTGATACAATTGTTACATATTGATATAATTTACTGCATTTACGCACTTATATTTATTATATATTTTAATTCAACAAAACTTTCAGGAAAATGAACTCTGTTAAATTCTAGCCGGATAGATTATTTATATGTAATAATTGTCAACTGATAAAATTAGAACGACAGATGCTCTAAAAATGTATTTATTTGTAAACATTATTTTAATCGATTTAACTCGTCGCACGCTGAACATCTAATTCATCTGAATCGTGAAGTATAATATCTCTTTACGATTATGAAATAAATCTATATGACTCAAAATATATTTCAGCGCGCGTATATATGTGTGTGTGTGTGTGTGCGTGCGTGCGTGCGTGCGTGCGTGCGTGCGTGCGTGTGTGTGATTATATCGTCGATTAGCAATTTTATTCTCTTATTAATTGAGCAAATGCAAATGGTTTTATATTCCGTTAAGGTAATAGAAATATTTGACAATTTAGACTTTTATAATATAAACAACGATATTTTTCGCAAATTGAACTAGCATTTGAATGTGTATAAAAAGAACATCGATTGAAAATTTTAGTTCTTTTCAATAAATAGCAAAAATTTTGTAATTGTCATTTTATACGATAAGAATAAATAAAAAATACTTCATAGATCTGTTTAATTTTCTCAAATTATTATTATAAAAAATAAGATATTAAACAAGGAATTCTGTAAAGAACTAATATGAATAATGAAATAAAGCAGCGTTGAACAACTTAATGTATACATTTGTGCATCGTAAGATCATAAGTCACTTGAATACTTTAACCGTGAAGAGATGATAAGTGATTTTAGAAAATTTATAAATAGACCTTTTCTCAAAGACTGTTCAATACTGCCACATTTCTCGTGCATCCTCGAAAATACAAAAATATGTCATATAATTTTTAACATAACACCAGCGGCAGCGGCAGCACCGAACAACGAGAACGAACTAAAGTGACATGAATCGATAATCGAACGCTGAGAGAGGGTGAAGCACGTAGAAATTATATTATCTTTTTCTTGTCGCGTACTACGTCGAACCTAATAGCCTGACGTCATCGATGGGAATTTATAGTCTCTCATATAACGGAGGATTTATTTTAAAAAATTATATGTCCTGCATTTTGAATAATATAGGAAAATCCAGATTGATATAGATTTGTTCATAACTCAATTTACAATGTAAATTTATCTCATGATGTGTTATATATAAAATCATTTTAGTACACTATAAATAAATAATTTCAAAATACATTAATAACAAGTAGTTGATTGCATACGCAATACGACTTAATTTATACATGGACTTATATAGGAAAGTTAACAGATGTTCAAGCATTGAATGTTAAGTGCGTGTCATTTGAAATTTGCGTACATTAATAATGTAACGATAATGCACAGTGACATTTATTTTTAGCGAAATACGTACAAACTATGTTAATATTTAGATGATGTAAAGATCATTTTAATTGAATCAGCACATAATATTAAATATTTTTATCAAATGGGTAATTATCCGTGTTTGTACTGTAAAAGGCAAAATAAACAACTGCATTTTTTAAACTATAGCAATCTCCTTAGAGATCTTCGTATTCAAAATTTTAGCCTTAAATGCAACTATTTCATACATATGTATATGTTTCAATTTTATACATTTCATTTATTCAATACTCTCGAATATTTTCAATGTTGATGAAAAATATACATTCTTGATATAGGTACGTGAATAGAATGTTATGAGATAAAAATTTTTCCATTGTAACAGAAATTCAAGACTCATTCATTTGAAAACAATTGAGCTATACATTACACATTTTTAAATAAAGAACAAAATCTTACTTTGCCAATACTTTCTGTTTTCCTCTTTTTTGTAAATAACTGGTTATCCTGCTTATTTTATATATATATATATATATATAATAATATTTCGTCGCAACTATGCAAAGTGACGCGTCTGCAGAAGACAAAGCTGAAACGAATGGTGGAAGTAGCGAGAAAGATATTTAGCATGCACGGGAAGCGACCGCTGCTCATAAAGGATAGGAGGAATCCACAATGAACCGATAAGCGAATAATCTCGCGAGAAAAAGGGAAGAATATGAAGAGGTAATGGAGCAGGGAGAGAAAACCTGTCAAGTTGAAGTAAGGCGAAGCAAGCGCTTTAAATTCAGAGTCGTCCCCCAGCCCTTTTAGATTTTTCAAAATTTATTAATATATTTAATATTTTCTAAGATATACATAGTCAACAATATAGAAACAAATCATCCGGACAGTGCGCCATTGCATCGGTGATTTCTTCAAATTGTTTTCCTCTTTTTTGTAAATAACTGGTTACCCTGCTTATTATATATATATATAATAATATTTCGTCGCAACTATGCAAAGTGACGCGTCTGCAGAAGACAAAGGGTTGCAATTTCACGCACGCATTACGGTATTAATAGTTTATATTTTTATTCGTACAAGTAATCGTAAAATTCATGTTATTACTCTAGTTTAAAGAATAATCTGAAGAAATTATTGATATAATGACGCACTGTTGGGACAATTAGTATTTCATGACTGTATGTGATTGTCACAAGCTACAAATAATATTTTGCACAAAAATTATACACAAATTTAAACGCATAATTATATACAAATATAGTAACACCAGCAATAAATATTAAAAAAAAACAAGCTCATTCGTTTTTTGCGATCGTTGCAAATTGCAATCCAACACTCTTGCCACAGTTCGTATGAATAGCAGATATTGAATGGCAGATAAATGCGAGTATTTGGAATGATTTACTCGTACATCAAACCTTCTCAATACTATCTTCTTGCTTTTGGCATCCTCAAGATTCGTGAATTTCTGAAAAAAATAAGATCATTGTATTTCATTTTGATCATTGATTTGTGTCGAAAAAGATTTCATTAATATTATTAATTGTAAGCAATTATTTAACAACCGCTACCAATGCTGACAAAAATAATTCATAATGTAATAAAATGACAAAAGAAAATCTCAGTCGAATAATGATGTACACATAATATCATTGTATCAGTTAAATACATGATTATTTCATATTCGTTAAAAATTTCGAACGCGTGTATCAAGCGAATAAATGCTTTCTGCAGTCAGTATGTAGCAAAATATGATAAAAACTTGTGCGCTGATTCAATTTGGTTCATAATCTAATTAACAATAAATTATAACTAATGAGGAATATCATGGCTGTATTAAAAATTCCATCGTGTTACGGGAACTGACGCTGTTTCAGTGCACAATGAGTACTTTATAATTGGGACATAGCGTAACATCGAACCCCATATAATTTCGCTGTGGATGAGAGGAAGCCCGACGAATAGGAGTTATGCTTGTCAGAGAAGTACCTCGGGTATGTTATCTCCATTAAAACATTGCGAGAATTCAAAATTCATATTCTAAAAAGTATAATTATAATTTACGTATATAAAACTCAATCTCTCGTGCATTTAATGTCCTATTCGTTTATTAAACGACTGATGGCGTGTATATGAACTTATATACATACATATTCGTAAGAAGATAATCAATCAAATGTATATGCAACATATATCTGAGCATTTGAATGACAGCTGTAATTATTTACAAAAATCAAAATTTAATTCGACATAGCACGGACGAGCTATTGTTCCAAGCTCAACTTGTTA